TCTTTTCCTCCCTCCCTCCTTTCTCCCTCCTCTCTCCCTCCTTCCTCCCTGCCCTCCTCCTCCTCCGTCCATCTCTCTTTTCCTCCCTCCCTCCTCTCTCCCTCCTTCCTCCCTGCCCTCCTCCTCTCCATCCATCTCTCTTTTCCTCCCTCCCTCCTTCCCCCTCTCGGCTCCTCTCCGGCCGCGTCACCGCTGGCTCCGCTCCCCCGGCCCCAAAGTAAACAAGGCAGAAACTCAGCTCAAAGTGATTTTTTGGGGTTTTTTTTTGGTGCTAAAATAGGAAGGGAAAAAAAAAACTGGAAGGAAAAAAATGGGAGAAAAAAACTGCAAGAAAAAAAATTTTTTGTTGTTTGTTTTTAAGGGCTAAAATAGAGAAGAAAGTTCCAATTTTTTTGTTGTTTTGTTTTGTTTTGGGGGCTAAAATACAGAAGAAATTCCTTTTTTGTTTTTTGGTTTTGTTTTTTGGTGCTAAAATATGAAGAAAAAAACCTGGAAGAAAAAAACTGGAAGAAAAAACTGGAAGAAAATTCCTTTTTTGTTTGTTTGGGTTTTTTTGGTGCTGAAATAGGAAGAAAAAATAAACTAGATGAAAAACCTAGATGAAAAAAACCAGAAGAAAATTCCAGATTTTTTTTTTTGTTTGTTTTGTTTTGGTGCTGAAATAGAAAGGAAAAAAAACTGGAAGGAAAAAACTGGAAGAAAATTCCAATTTTTATTCCCAAAGGAAGGATGAAGTACAAAACTGAGGGGAAAAAAGGTGAATTGCAGCTTTTTCTCATTTCCCAGCAGGAAACACAGACAGGACGGACAAATCCACCCTGGGGCAGCTGAGGAAAAAGTGGAAAAACTTCCAAGAATTTCCCAATCCCAAGAAGAATTCCAGGTGGGAGGAAAGGCCTGGAACATTCCTGGAGTTTGGCCTGGAAATGCAGCAAAAAAAAACCCCAAAAAGCAAACAGGAGAGGCTGAGGGAAACCCCAGGAAACAGAAGCTCAGTCTTTGAGAAGAGGGAGCAGCAGGAATTTGGGATATTTACAGAAAATGGGATTTTTTACCTCAGACCTCCCAAGCTCCAGGTCCCTGTGGTGACCGGGCCCAGCCCTGAGGGCGCTGCTGGGCCCACACAGGCCCTGGAAGAAACAATAAATAATAAATCACAAATATTCCCGGTTTGCTGTGCCAGGAATGATGGAATTTATGGGTTTTTACCCTTTTTTTTTTGCAGGCAATTCCCACTGGAAATGAGGGAATTTGGACTCAGTGGCATTTGGGTGGCACATCCAGCCAAGGGCTGAAGGGTTTGATCCTTGTGGGATCAAAATATTGGAATTTCCCTGGTTTTAGCATTTGTGGATAAATCAACCCTCTGTCAATATCATTATCGTCATCATTATCAATCATTATCATTACCATTATCATTATCATTATCATTATCATTATCATATATTGGAATTTCCCTGGTTTTAGCATTTGTGGATAAATCAACCCTCTGTCTATATCATTATCGTCATCATTATCATCATTATCATTATCATTATCATTACCGTTATCATTATCATTATCATTATCATTATCATTATCATTATCATTATCATTATAATATATTGGAATTTCCCTGGTTTTAGCATTTCTGGATAAATCAACCCTCTGTCAATATCATTATCATTATCATGATCATGATCATTATCATTATCATATATTGGAATTTCCCTGGTTTTAGCATTTGTGGATAAATCAACCCTCTGTCAATATCATTATCATCATCATTATCATTATTATCATTATCATTATTATCATCACTATCATCATCATAATTATAATGATCATCATTATCATCATTATTATTATCATCATAATTATCATGATCATCATTATCATTATTATTATCATCATCATTATTATTAATGCTATTATTACCATTATTATTGTTATTATTATTATTATTATTAAAGACAAAAAATAGGATTTTTTCCCCACTGCTATCCTGAGGGAAAATCTGCTTTATAATCTGGATTTTCCAGTAACAAATGAGGAGTGAGTGAGGAGGAATTGCCTTTGCCACATCCCTCAGGGATCAAATCCTTCACCCGGAGCTGTGAGAACTGGGGCTCATCCAGCTGGGGAGGGCAGGAGCAGCCAGGAAAATCCCGAATTTTCACATTCCCACTCCTGGGAAAGGCAGCAGTCCCTGTTCTGGCAGCGCAGAGTGAAGGAAAAACACATTGCTTATCAGAGGCGTGAATAAAAAAGGGGTTTTGCCAAGTATTCATGGGAAAAAAATGAGTTTTTTAAACTGTGGAAAAGTCATAAAAGTGCAGAAAGAAAGAGATGTAATTCCCATGGAATGAAGAGTGGACAGGGTCACTCGTGAGAGACACAACTGACCAAAAATCTGCTTTGTGTGGGGAGCAGAGAGACCCCAAAATCCTCATTTTTGCAGGAAAAAAAAAAAAGTGGGATCATGGAATCATGGAATGGCCTGGGTTGGAAGAGCCTTAAAATTCCCATCCACAGATAGCAGATTTTATTTCTATATTTGAAATGCATTTTCAATGAATTTTGATGTATTTATTGATCAAATAAATCCGCATTAAAAATAAGCACCCAAACCAAAGCCTTGAAAGTTGGGTCTCCAGTGAATTTTGGGTTTCTAAATTTTCAGTGGCCCCAATTGCCAAAATTCTGGAGAGGAAAAATCACTTTGGGATTGCTCTGTGACCTCCAGCCAGGCAGGGAGGGAGTTTTTTAAAATTTAAATCCCATCAGGAGTGCCTCTGGACAGAGCTCAGCACCTCCAAAATCCCATTTTATAACCCTATAAACCGATCATAACAATAGGCCTATTCTTATATATAAGGGTGGTTTCATTATATATTTAAATAACCACATTTTCTATTATTTCTGTTATTTAACAGCCAAATTAACTCACCAAAACCACACAATCGACAAGCCAGGTCATTTCCTTTGGGCTTTTTGCTCCAGGCTGAAAGAAACCCCAATAATTGACATTTAAAGGAATGAAGGCTCCTGCATATCAAGGCAATTTTTTCTATTTTTCTTTTTTTTTTCCCCATTTTCATCCTTTTAGAAACCCAAAGGAATTTTTCTTCAGGCTGCAGCAGATTTTTGGGATCAGCTGTGAGGGCAGCAAAGCTCAGCAGAGCTGGTTGCTCCTGCCTTGAGCTGAGCAGTTGGTGGGCTGAGGTCATTCCCACCTTTATTTTCCTTTATTTTCCTTGGATTCACCTGATTCCTTCCTAAATCCCTGTAAATCACCTCCAAGCCAGCTCAGGAGCAGAAAACTTTGCTTGTTCCTGCTGAAAAAACCCAAATTCAGAAGGAGCTGATGGGGAAACATCTCCCAGCCTGGAGCAGGATTATTATTGAAGCTTTACTGAAAAAAAAAATCAAAATATGCAGCAGAAAATGTTTATTTGGGGTGGTTTTTGGGTTTTTTTTTGAAGTCTGGGCACTGCCAGGTTCGTTACACCTTTTTTTCCTGGCTGGAGCTGACATCACAAATGAGAGGAGCTCACAAACAAACAACAAAAAAGCAAAGCTCCTGCTGCCTGAAAGTTGAAATATTTTCCATTTCTCTGTTTTGAACTGGCCTCTGCCAAGTGAAGGACAAAAGTCAGAAGGAGGAAAAATGTTATTTTTCAGCCTTGGAAGGTCAGGTTCTAAAAATAAGTGGAAAACATCTCCGGCCTGGAGCTGGGGTGAGAAGGGTTTCAGAGGGGCTCTGATGCATTTCTGGGGTGAAAATCCAAATTATAGAGGAGATACAAGGAAAGCCTTCAAAAAAAGTCTCATTTTCCTCACAGTTTGGGCTTCCAGAGGTTTTTAAATGCTTCCAGTCAGTGAAATCCCCAGTTTTAAGGGATGCCTTTCAAAGCCATTCCTCCTTTTATTCCCCAGGGCCTCCAGGAGCAGATTTGGAAAACTTGCAGTGTAATTCCATGTTTTCCTAGGATCCTGGAATCCCAATAAACCCCAATAAACCCCCAAAAATCGCAATAAATATCAGTAAATATCAATAAACCCCAATAAATGCCAATAAATAACAATAAACCTTAATAAGTCCCAATAAATCCCAATAAACCCCAATAAACCCCAATAAACCCCAATAAACCCCAATAAATTCTGATAAATATCAATAAACCCCAATAAATCCCAATAAACCCCAATAAATTCTGATAAATATCAATAAACCCCAATAAATCCCAATAAATCTCAGCAAATATCAATAAACCCCAATAAACCCCAATAAATCCCAATAAATCAAATAAATCCCAATAAATCCCATAAATCCCAATAAATCCTAATAAAAATGACGTTTGGAAGCTCAACCTTACTTGGAAGAACCATCCAGGTCCCAGGTTGCCAGTCCCTGTCTTCCTCTGCAAGGTGGCCCAGCCTTGCCAGGGTTCAAATTCCATAAATGGGGAAGAAAACAGCTGGAGAAAGAAAGGACCGAGTAAAGAAATTAGGGGTGAAGTTAAAAAATTCAGGGTGAAGTTAAAAAAATAAAGGATGACATTTAAAAAATTAAGGATGAAGTTAAAAAAATTAAGGATGAAGATGAAAAAATTAAGGGTGAAGTTGAAAAAAAAAAAAAGGATAAAGTTAAAAAAAATTAAGGCTAAATTGCACAATGGAGCTGCCCCCAGGTTTAATTCACTTTGCCTCTGATGAAATGGAAAATCAAAGCATTAAAGTGATTTTAAAAAGGTCTTTAAGGCCTCGGTTTCCTGAGGAATTCGGAGTTTGAGACACAAAGCAGACTGCAGCAGGCTGGGACTCCTCAAAGCTGTGACAAAGCACAGCCCTCAGTGCATTATTCCACGGATGGGCTGCCCTTCCCATGGATTAATGGATTTATTTCTAATATTTGCATCACGCTGGGTGTTTATCTCACATAATCACTGCTGCTACTGCTGTCCATTATTAACGAATGAATTAATGAATGGCTCCAGGTCGTTAGCTGGCAGCAGCTCTGAGGGGATCCTTTTGGAATCTGTTTGTTGGGATTGTTTTAGCAACGGGTGAGATCGGGGTTTGAACACGATCAGGCTGGAAAATCCTGTTTGAGCAGGCTTTTAAAAAAGGATGAAAAAAAGGAAAAAAAAAAAAATGCAAGGTTTTTGTTTTGTCTGGGAGCAGAAAGGTGGGCCAGGAAGGAGGATCCTGCCTCCAGCTGCAGTGTCCAGCTGTTCCCATGGAGTATTTGGGAATTTGCAGATGGAGCATCCAAAGTGTGAAATTCGGATTTCTTCGTGGGGTTTTTGATGGATTTGCTCCTGGTGAAGCGGTTCAGGCTGGTCCCAGTTCAGAGCACAGAATTCCAGGCTGGTCCCAGTTCANAGAATTCCAGGCTGGTCCCAGTTCAAATCACAAAATTCCAGGCTGGTCCCAGTTCAAATCACAGAATTCCAGGCTGGTCCCAGTTCAGAGCATAGAATTCCAGGCTGGTCCCAGTTCAGAGCACAGAATTCCAGGCTGGTCCCAGTTCAGAGCACAGAATTCCAGGCTGGTTTGGGTGGTGGATCCTGGATATCTGCTGGATCCCGCATCTCTGCTGGATCCCAGATTTCTGCTGGATCCCAGAGCTCTGCTGGGTCCCACATCTCTGCTGGATCCCAGATCTCTGCTGGATCCCAGACCTCAGCTGATCCCAGATCTCTCTCTGCTGGATACCGGAGCTCTGCTGGATCCCTGCTGATCCCAGATCTCTGCTGGATCCCAGAGCTCTGCTGGATCCCAATCTCTGCTGGATCCCAATCTCTGCTGGATCCCAGATCTCTGCTGGATCCTGGAGCTCTGCTGGATCCCAATCTCTGCTGGATCCTGGGGCTCTGCTGGATCCCAGAGCTCTGCTGGATCCCAATCTCTGCTGGATCCCAGATCTCTGCTGGATCCCAGAGCTCTGCTGGATGCCCATATCTGCTGGATCCCCATCTCTGCTGGATCTCAGATCTCTGCTGGATCCCAGAGCTCTGCTGGATCCTGGAGCTCTGCTGGATCCCAGATATCTCTCTGCTGACCCCAGAGCTCTGCTGGATCCCAGATCTCTGATTAATCCCGGATCTCTGCTGGATCCCGGATCTCTGCTGGATCCCGGATCTCTGCTGGATCCCGGATCTCCCCGTGCCCCCCCAGCTCTGCAGCCATCCCCGGGCCCACCCGGTGACCCCACCACCCGAGCCTGGTGCCAGCAGGGTCCTGTCCCAGCACAACAGCCGGGACTCACCTGGGCTCGGCCAGGCCGAGGCCAGGAGGCCCAGGAGGTGCCCGGGGGGTCTGGCTGTCGGGGTGACCTCAGGAGGGTAAAAATCCTCATTTCCAGCCCCGCAGCCAGAGGAGTCTGAATGTGCAGGCTCGGCTTCTCAAGGGTGTTATTTTCCTTTATCTAGAACATTGTTTCTCTGACCTGCTGAGCTCTGGCCAGCAGCTCGGCTGTGGCATTCTGTCTGCCCTCTAGGGCATTTTATACTAAAATTTACACATTTTATACTAAAATTTCGCATTTTATACCCAAAACCACGTGTGCTATATTTACAACAACGTGCCAATATCCATCACTTATGTTGGGCAGTGTGTCCCTACCTTAAACCAACAGAAAAGTGTCACCAGCACAGCAAAGCGTGGAGGGCGAGGAGAAGGAGAAGAAGGCCAGGACATGCCCAATCCATCTTGAACCCTTGAACCCCATTCTAAAACCCCAAAATTCTTATTTTCCACCCTGTGTTAATCCAACTCCCACACTGCTCAAACCCTTGTGGCTTGGGATTCCTCACAGAGTTGGCAGCTAAAATCGAAGCCACGGGTGTTTGTGACTTGGTGCCAAGGTGCCCGAGATCCCTGCCAGGGTCTGGGGACAGCCAGAGGGAGGAGCTGGGCTCCCACAGTGCCCCAAAGTCCCCCCAGCCCTGGAGGGGACAAATCCCAGGAGAGGCCAGGTCGGGAGGAGCTGGGGCCCATCCTGCCCAGAAGGAGCCCTGAGGATGGGGATGGGAATGTGGGAATGTGGGGATGAGAGAATGAGGGAATGAGGGAATGTGGGGATGAGGGAATGTGGGAATGTGGGAATGAGGGAATGAGGGAATGAGGGGATGAGGGAATGTGGGGATGTGGGAATGTGGGGATGTGAGGATGAGGGAATGTGGGAATGAGGGAATGAGGGGATGAGGGAATGAGGGGATGAGGGGATGAGGGAATGAGGGAATGAGGGGATGAGGGGATGAGGGGATGAGGGAATGAGGGAATGAGGGGATGAGGGAATGAGGGAATGAGGGGATGAGGGAATGAGGGAATGAGGGAATGAGGGAATGAGGGAATGAGGGGATGTGGGGATGTGGGGATGAGGGAATGAGGGGATGAGGGAATGTGGGGATGAGAGAATGAGGGAATGAGGGAATGAGGGGATGAGGGGATGAGGGAATGAGGGGATGAGGGAATGAGGGAATGTGGGGATGAGGGGATGAGGGAATGAGGGGATGAGGGAATGAGGGAATGAGGGGATGACGGAATGTGGGGATGTGCCCGAGGCACCCAGCCCCATCCATGGCGCAACCCCAGCCCCAGGCGGGCGCCGAAATCCCCGCAGGAAACGGCCCTGCATTTTTTCCTGCGCTATTCACGGCGATTTCTAGCAGGGATAATAAAAGATTTGGAGCTCTGGATTAGGCTCATTTGTAACAATGAGCTCCTCTTCCTCCAGCAGCCAGCGGGAGCTCAGACACGCCGAGGAAAGCGGGAATAATTCACTGGAATTGTGCTGGGAAATCGGGGGAGGCTGAGGGATGTTTTGTCTGAGAGAGGTGCAAAGTGATGAGAGAGTGAAGCCATCACTGCGTGCTGGGAATTGCTGGGACTTCCATGCTCAGAGTCTTCAGCTTTTCCCACTGAAAGTCCTTTGGCTGTGATCTCGCTTTCTTTTTTTTGGGATTTTCTCCCGAAAAACACTTCCCAGAGTCATAATGACAATAACACAGATTTACTGCTCCGTGTTCCCAAAACTCCCTGGGATGGCAGAGCTTAAAAACAAATACTCTTCGAAGCAGCCCGGCTTTTCCTTTTCCCCTAAATGATGCATCCCAGTGATGTCTGTGGTCAAAGCTCCTGAATTTTGGAAGCCGGGGTCTCCAGGCAGGAGTAAACAGGAGCTGGCTCCTCCAGGCAGGACTGGAAGTGCTCAGGGCTCTGAGATCACGGGGGAGGTGGGCAGACAGCACGTCCACGCTTTAATAGCTCTGGGACCTCTCTCCGGGAGCACTGAGCTGGCTTTGAACGCATCCCAAGGATTATGAACTCCAAAGGAACATCTGGCACGGAGAAGCCTGGAGCTCAGGGATCCTGGGGATCTCCTCGCTGCTGGAGCTGCCTGCGGGCTGTGGGCTCTGGGGCTGCACAAAAATCCACGTTTTCTGTAGGGAAAATGGCATTTCCGTGACCCCGAGGATGGCTCGGACGAGGATTTGGTGTCCTCAGGTTGCTGCCTCCTGGCACAGCTGGGGACAGCCAGGACAGAGCTTCCACCTCTCCTTTCCACAGGGAGGATCCCAAGGAACCTGACAACATTCACCCCGAAAACAGGGACAGGGAGCACAGCCAAATCCAGGGGGAAAGGGAAATATTTGGGTTGGAACGCCGGAGAAAATCGGGTTTTTCCCAGGGAGCTGAGGAATGGATCCCCTGGAGATGGAGCTGGGCACAGCCTCCAGGGAAAATGGGGATGAGAAGTGGGGAACTGGGAATTTCCCAGGAATTGTGGCCACGCTGCCCCCAGAGCTGCCCTTTCCGTGGGCATCCCAAGGGAACTCCAGAGCTTTTCCATGCCAGGGCTTTTCTTAAGGGAACCTGCCCAAATCTCCTGAATACACAGCAAGAACCAACTTTTAATTAATTCATTCAAAATTAATGCCGCTTCTCTTGCTTCTTCCTCTCGCTGACTGCGATAGGGGCTGGGTTTCCCCTCCAAATTTTCCCTTTTTCCATTAAAAAAGCCCTCCACAAATCCAGCAGGAAGATATCTGGGATAATTTAACAGCTGGAAAAAGGCAAACCCAGCAATCAGGTCTTTTCAGGACACCAGTGATCAAAGAGGTGCTCTGTACAAATGATTTTGCAGCCAGCTCTTGGCAGGAGACAGAAACCTTTTCCCTGCTGGAAATGAGATTTAAGTTGTAAGGAGAGGAAAAAGGATCGATCACTGTGTGTTAATTCCCTTTCTCCCAACTGGAAATACTGAGTGGGACAGAGAAAAGGGGGCAAATAAATTGATTATCGAATGTAATATTCTCTGTCTTGTCTCAGGGAGAGATTAAATTCACTTAAATTCACTTAAATTTGGTTTTAATAGGAGTCATTTAACACTTGTGTGAAGAAAAAGAGCTTTTTCTTATATAGGAAAATGGGGGAGAAAACCTTTCTGAATTACAATGCGACCTCTCCAGGATAGGTGGGTTTTTTTGCAGTGGAATGGGGAGATTTGTGAAGAACACAAAGAAAAGAGGGGTGGAGGAAGCACCAGCAAGTTCTCCATGCTGTTCTTTGAAGTGGTCTTGTTGTCCTTGGGTAAAACGAGAATCTTGAACAAGAAAATGGATTTATTATCAAATTCTCCCTCTTCTGGGGGTGGTGGAGCAGAGCTTTGTCTCCATCCTTTTTTCCTGTCCCCCTCTCAGCTGATATTTCATCCCCAGCACACCAGAAGGAAGTTTTCTTCCTCAAAAAACTGCTTTTAATTCCTTTGGGAGCTGCTCCCAAAATCCCGAGCACGGAAGGATGGAGCAGAGAGGGACAATCCCAGGACAGCCCCTGGTGTGTCAGCTCCTCACCTCTGCCCCCTTCCCAGGGATTTCCTGAGGCATTCCAGAGGTTTTCCAGCCAGGATAATGCTGGCTGTGAGCAGGATGAGTGCACAGAGATGCTCTGGGCATGGGCAAGGACAGGGACACCTTCAGGATTCCTCACCCTGTCCTTTGTCTCTCTCCAAAGAAAGATTTCTTCCAATAAAAAGGTGAATTTCCAAATGAGAAAGAGAGGGAATTCCAGAAATAAAAACCTGCAGCAGTTGAACAGTGGGAGACACTTCCACGCAGGAGAATCTTCTCAGTCTGGAGCTGCAGCTCCTTCCTGAAGGCAATTAACGAATGTAAATCAAAATAATTCATTAAAGAGGCTCAAACAAACAGCTGCACTCGTGGAAATGCTCTTTTCACCCCCTCATGGCTTCTGGGACAACCACTGGGTTCCCAAATCCATCTTTTTCCTGACTCCCACCCCCTCAGCTCCCCTTATCACCCATCTCCTCTCTCACACACGTTTTATTTTGCTCAGCTTCGAGACATTACAGATTCTTGGCCCCATCTGCAGATGGTGCTGCTTTGGACATCCTCGATGAGCTCAGAGGAAAATTCTGCATCATCCAGGCTCTGGGCTTGTTTTGGGGTTTTTGGTCACTTCCAGAGAAATGGAAAAACGGCGTGTGCAGGCTCACAAGGGATGGGAAGCTCTCCAGAAAGAAGGAGGATGGAGACTGACCCAAACCTCTGGAGTTTTCTGGAAAATCTCAGCCCCAGAAGTCTCCCAGGAATGACCTGGCTCTGGGGAGTGCTGGCAATGCCTTCTCCCGACCCCACCCAGAGCTGAAAAACAGCCTCAAGGGCAAACCTGCTCTTTTTCCATAATAATTTTCAGGATGATGGGCTGTGGAGAGATCCAGAGTCAGCCCTTGCTTCATCTGAACTGCTCTTCCTACCCAAAAATTGCAAGGGCACAGGTTTGGCCTGATTGCGACGGTCCCAAATTCCTTTAATTTGAATTCCAGATGGAGACCACGTCAATCCCCTGCATTTTTGCAGCGTTCCCTCCATAAAGTTCCAATTCCTTTTGGCCAGCACAGGGTCAGGTTCTTGCCTGAGCTTCCCCTCGAGCCAGAGCATGTTGGGTGCTCATCGACAGCCAGAGAAGTACCCACCAGGAGAGAGAATTCCAGGAGCTCTCCCTGAATTCCAGCTGCCTCCTGGACATCTCTGCAGCCTTGGAGTGCTTTCTGCACAAGCCATTCCGGCCTGCACCACTTCTTCCAGGAAAAGCTCACAGGATTCCAGGAATCCCACGCTCAGGTGGAGAAACGGGAATGACAAAAGCAACTTTTTCTGCTGGCACAGTTGAGTGTCCCGGACACAAAAGGCAGCAAAAGCTGCTGAGATTTCCCCAGGAAATCAAATATCCAGGCATGGCTTGGAGAGGGGAACTTCTGGAAAAGAGGAAAGAACAAGCCTAACCCTGTAGACTCAGCAAAATCTGATCTCACAGCCTGAGCTCATTCCTGGCTCCCAGCACAGCGGGAAGAGAAGTTGTTCCTGGGGAGCTCCAAGTCCTAAATCTCCTCCTGAAACAGGAGCTGTTTGTCATTTCCAGCTGCAGGTGCCCCTTCCTCCGCTTGCTTTGTTGGGTTTTTTCCCCCCAGCTGAGGTTTGTGGTGGAACAGGGAACGAGAAAAGGACAAAATGTGCGAGGCTTTATCCAAGGCTGAGCAAGCCTCAGCTTTCTATGGCTGGATTAGTGGGAATTCAATTAAAACCCCATGGAAAGGGCTGAGGCTACAGCCTGGCCTGAGGGTGATCCTCCATTTCAGCCCGTGAGGGAGAAACCCCACAAAGCAGTTTTTAGATGGTATTTTTGATGTCCAAATCCACTGGAACAACGTCCCTTGGTTGTTTCAGCCTTTTGGCCTTCTCAGGCAAAGGATGTGGATGCAGATTTTGGCTGGATTTGGGTTAAATCCCAGGAGAAGAGCTTGGGATCACTTTGGGATCACAGTTTGGGGTCACAACAATCCTTCAGGCTGTTCCTGTGCTCCAGGATCTGGCTTCTGACTTCCAGACAAGAGGAGTGAAAACCCTGTCCAGGGTTTGAACATCTTCCTCCCCTCCATTTCCTTGGAATCTTCATGCTCACAGAAAATTCCAGGGTTTTTAGCCACTTTTCTTCAGGGTTATTCTGATTTGGTTTTCCACCATGACCTTCCACGCTTTGGACTTTCCATTTTGCTGCAGTTTCTCCCCACCCTGGCTGCTGGCCCCGGGCTCTGTTTGCCCAAACTCGAACATTATTTTTCAGCTGAAATGACATCATGGCTGAAGTGCTGTTTAAAATTATTGCTCTCCAGACCTCCCTCACATCCCCTTTTGCAATCCCCTCTTCCAGCAAAGCTGTGTTCTCATCTGGAGCCAGGAAGGGTGGCCTAGAACTGGAATGTCTTGTCCACATCCATCCCAGGACTTCTGCTCTGCCCTCATCCTATAGCCAAAAAAAAAAAAAATCCAATTGAACTTTTCAAATTTTTAATAACACTTGCTAACAACTCCATAAAAATAATTCTGTGTTCTGGGCCCTCTCCACATGACATCAGGCTGATGGATTTCTGGGCCAGGCTCCCGAGGCCGTTTGCAGCCTTCTGTTTGCTCATAAATCAAGGCCAGCGGTGCCGTTTTTAGCAGAAGCGGCCCAGTTCAGAGTTTCCAGACTCCTCCATGGGTTTGCTGTGCTGCCACAGGCCCTGCTCCGAATCCAGCAGCTCCACCAGGCCACACGTCCACCGGAGCACCTGTGGCAGGCTCTGGAATGGCTCTGCTGGTGATTCTGAAGGGACCAGCATGGCAGAAGTCCTTCTCCCCGAATTTCCACGGCCTTTGCAGCGTTATTCCCTGTCCAGCTGGCCGCCCTTCCCGGTGGGAACGCTGCCTCCTTGCACGGAGCAGCTGCTGAGGTGTTTCCAGCACGATCCTGAGGCGCAGCCAGCGCCCAGCGCCGCCGGGCTGGGGGCAGGATCCTCCCCAGGCTGTGGGAGCACGTGGAAAAGGGACGAGCCAGCATCCTTGGCAAAGGGAGCAGCTGGAAGAGCCCTGAGCATCGGTGGGACGAGGGGAAACCTCCCAGCACGGATCCAGAGTTCAAGGGTCCCTCTGTTTTGGGGTGTCGGTGCCCTCTGGGGTGGGAATGTTCCCCCTGGGGGATGTGGGGCAGCCTGGGAGCCCACAGCCGCCTTGATCTCGTCCCAGGCTGTTTGATGGCATTCCTGGGTTCATTTCCAAGCAGCTCCTGACTTCTGGGAAGGCCTCACAGAACTACACTGAGACCATTCACGGCCTGAGGGCAGCCCTGGCTGGGTTCCTCCAGAAATCCACAGAATTCTGCAAGGAAAACATTCCTTCCCCTTCCTAAAACCGCCCCCCCAGACACGACAAACAGCTCCTTGGAAAGGCCTTCCACGGTGGCAAAACAACTGCGACACCCAACCCTTTTGGGGTCCCTCAATTTTGCTTGATTTTTGTTCAGCAAAAATGAAAAAGAAACGTACACTTGATGAAATATCACCAGTTTTTCCTACAGGTGTGGAAGCAGAAATGACTTTACATTCCTTCTTTTTCAAATTTGGACTATTTGCAAGGAGAAGATAAGGCCAAGCTGGGCAAATTTAACATCAAAAGGGACTGAAAAGGAAAATTCTTCAGGGACGGAGGCCAGAAAATTAAATTTTCCAGTTTCAGGGCATTTTTGGATGAGGGTGTTTAATCCTGGAGCCCTCCTGGAAGTCCTGGTGTGGCCAAACACACTTTGGACACTCAGCCAAATCCCAATTATTGATTCCTTACATTAAGAGCCAAATTAAGATTTCTCCACAGCAGGAAAGAAGGATTTCCTTGGGAGGATTTATTTTCTATGCAGAGAATGTAAATATGTTATTCCCTTACACTGAAAGCACAGAAAAAGCCAGGGTGGGACTCCAAAATTCCTGATTTTGAAGTGATTTTTTTTTGTGCTTTGAAGATGCAAACCCAACCTCAGGTTTAACCCTGAGCGTTCTGCCCGCCCCAGAATTAAAAACCTGCATCAGCACGAAATCTGAGGAGAAGTCAGCTATCACCACATCCGAAACCTGCTGAAAGTGCACCCAATCCCAAATTTCCAGGGGATAACCTGGAAATTCCCCATTTTCCTCTCTTTCTGGGGAGGCTCAGCAGCCCCACACACACATCCCAGCCTGTGGGAGCCTGGATTTTCCATTACTCCACAATCACCTCCATCTGCCCAGGAAGGCTGCCAGCAATCCCAACAAACAGGGACATTTTGGAGCCCATCAAGAGCTCCACATTTTGTTTTTAAGCTCAGCTCCAACAACATCTGCTTTGGAGAAATCCCTTTTTTTAATTTTTTTTACATTTTATTCCCCCAAGAGCTGTCTATGCCCCTTTGGAAATTGAGGATTTTTAACAATTCTGCTCCTTCCAGAGGCAGCTTTAATAGGGAACAGATCCTCCCAAAGATCTCCTTGAATAAATTCAGGAATTCCAGCATTTTTTCCCTTGGATTTTAGGAACTCTTGGCTTTTTCTTGGTGAGTTTTAACTTCACATGGTGATTCTGCAGCTAAAAACCTAAAAAAGGCACAAGTTCTGTCCATAAAAAGCTTTTTTCCCTACATTAATTCCTTCAATCCAGGTCCTGTCCTGTTGTTTCAGACCTTTTCAAGGGAAGGGAATTTTAACACGATTTTGGAGGGAAGGATTTCAAGTTTCCCACTGAAACTCAGTATTTTTAATTCTTATTTTAATATTCAACCCTAATTTATTGGAGTTTACTTATTTATTTATATATAGCATCCATTTGGAGCTGGTTTAGAGCACCAAATTTCATTTCCTTTTCATCTCCTGCTGTTATTTTTTATTATTTATCTTTTATTATCTGTTAGCTTTTATTATCTGCTATCTTTTAATGTCACTCACCATCCTTAATTTCTGAGAACTTTCTTCATTCAAAATCCTTGGATTTTGGCTAAAATCTTCTCCTCCTTTTCCCTCATGGAGTTACATCCCTGTGACTTGTTCTGGGAATATTTGTGTATCCCCAATTAAACCTGCAGATAAAGCAGAATTAATCAGATTTATCACAATTTGCTGAAAAACAAAAAAAACAATCATGAGGAAAAACCCTTTTCTGCAAATCTTCCCCGCTGAAATCAGAGCTGGATTTGTATTTCCTGTTGTACTAAAGTTTCTGGTAAATTAAAGACATTCTTACACTTATTTAATAACACTTTTTGGAGATGTTCTTAGCTTGTGAAAGCATTCTGGGTATTAACGGGTAAAAATACAAAAATAAATATTAAAACATTAAGTTATATAAATAAATATAAAATTAGGTATATACAATAATATACAAATATGAGTATAAAATTATAAAATATAGAGATACAATATTATATAATATTAATAGAAATAGTTATTAAATATATAAAAGTATAAATATTTTTAAATGACCACTCAGGGTCCCAGCACTCAATGGGCCTTTTAGTGTGATATTAAAATGTTGTCACATTGTAAAATGCAAGACTGAAGTCCATAATGTTATAATTCTTAAAAAATAAGGGATTTTTCCTCCCATTTTCCTTTTTTCCAGCGTTTTTATCCCAATCCCAGCCTGCCCAGCCAGGGCTGGAAGTGAAGCTTTGCTGCCATTAAGGATGAGTCCCTAAAAATCCACTCTGCATTAATTCCAATGGATTCCAGTCCATTTCAGGACTGGGATCTTTAACTCCACAAGAGCCCACGAAATATTCAATATTTACTTCAGGGGCTTTCATGGGGCCTTTGTTCCATGCAGGAATTTTATGGATCTGGGATTTCCTGGCATTTGCATCATCAGCTGTTAATTAGTGAAAATTCCCTGGGAATAAACAGAAATACCTCCCCAGCCTCCATAAACAAAAAATCAGTGGGAATAAACAAAAATACCTCCCCAAACCCACAAAATCCTGTGGGATTTGTTGCTCCAGGATGGAACAAAATCCCAGCCAGCCCAACCTCTCCCTGTGCTGACATTCCAAAGGGAAAAAGCTGATGGGAAATGAGGAAAATCTGTGTGGGGGGAAAAAAACTATTTTAACTATTCAGGTTTCTCAGCCCATTATCTGTGAAGATTTTTTAAGGTTTAATGGGATGAATTTAGGATTTTAGGGATTTTGGAGGATTTTATGGGATTTGTAGGAATGCTGTGATCCCAGAAATTCCCAAACAAAAGGGAAATGTGTTGCTATGATCCCACCTCGAGCTGGTCCTTGGATTCTTTCTTCCCCAGCTCCTTTTGCTTTCCTTCTGTGTCCCTCTCGTGGTAACTCAGGAGAAATGGCACTGGAAAAACTCATTCCCAATTTTTTTCCCTATGGATTTAACCCTTTAGAAAAAGAATAATTATTACTTTACTGTAATTTTGTCAGCATTGAGAATATTTTAATTTTTTTAAAAAACAGATTTTTTTGTTATTCTTTCATTTATTGGTATTCAGGTGTGGTAAAATAAGTAAAAAATTAAGGTATTTTCATTTAGGATTTGTTTTAAGTAAAAAGGGAAGAAAAAAGGCAGAACACAGAGACAGGAAATTAAGAAAATTGAGCGTTTGGATGAAATTCTTTATTATGGAAGGCACTGGAAGAGATTGGTGTGGATTCTCCATCCCAAGGACAGCTTGGATGGGGTTGGAACAACCTGGGATAGTGGGAGGTGTCCCTGCCCGTGGGAATTGATGGGATTTAAAGTCCTTCCACCCCAAACCATCCTGGAATTCTGTGATTTTTAAACCCTCTGAGCTCCCTGAGCACTAAATAAAATTATGTGAACAGAGCAGGGAGGAGATAAAGCGATAAAATTGCTTCATCAACACCCTGGGTGCATGTATTGTCCTTAAGGAACACCCTGGGTGCATTTATTGCCCTTCATCAACACCCTGGGTGCATTTATGGTCCTTAAAGAACATCCTGGGTGCATTTATTGTCCTTCATCAACACCCTGGGTGCATTTATTGTCCTTAAGGAACACCCTGGGTGCATTTATTGCCCTTCATCAACACCATGGGTGCATTTATTGTCCTTAAAGAACACCCTGGGTGCATTTATTGTCCTTAAGGAACACCCTGGGTGCATTTATTGCCCTTCATCAACACCATGGGTGCATTTATTGCCCTTCATCAACACCCTGGGTGCATTTATTGTCCTTAAAGAACACCCTGGGTGCATTTATTGCCCTTCATCAACACCATGGGTGCATTTATTGCCCTTCATCAACACCCTGGGTGCATTTATTGTCCTTAAGGAACATCCTGGGTGCAGTTATTGCCCTTCATCAACACCCTGGGTGCATTTATTGCTCTGGGTGGGAGCTCCCCTGAGCTCCTCCCTCCCCACCTGCTCCCTGCTCCACCCTCACTCCCCCTAACCCGAATTGTTCCATGCCAGGATAAAAATATCCCATTTTTCCCCCGTTTTGGCCAGCCTGGGCTCCATTGGCTGTGCCCCCCTCACGTCACAGAGCTCTTCCAGCCTTATCTCCATGGCTGGGAATTCCTGGAGACCAATCCCATCCCTGCCTTCCCTCACAGCCCCGAGAGGAGGAGGAGGAGGAGGAGGAGGAGGAGGAGGATGCCAGCAAATCCCAGAGCTGCTGGGCTCTGGAATTCAAACCAGGTTCAAGGAAAGGCCTCTCCTTATTTCCAGGGCTGGGATTTCTCTCCAGCACCTCCAGCTGCTTGGGTTTGTCACTCCTCATCAGCACCTCGGCATAATCCCCTCTGCACCTCCTGCGAGCAGAAAGCATCTCTTAAAATATGAATTCACTCACGTTTTTATCTCCTTGTGAATCCCAGCTTCTGATCTGCAGGGCGACGGGAAACTCAGCAGCGTTTGCAGGGAGTTGTGCCAGTTTGTGCCCGTTTAAATTCCATACTGGCAGCACAGCAGTCAAGCCCAGTGAGTCACAGCCTCTCCTCTGCAGCAGCCCGGGGTTGAGGCAGAAAACTTGCACAAAACACCCAAAAAAAAAAAAAAAAAATACAGAAAATGCAGCCTGGCAGCTCTGCAGTCTGGCTGTGCATCCATTTTATCCTGAAAAGCTTCAAAGCGGCCCCCAGAGCTTCCAGCGCTGCGATGAAGCAGAGCCATCCCAAAATCCACGTGCCTCTGCTCTGCCTTGCTATAAAGAGAATTTCACCCTCCAGTTTAAACCAGTTTGGTTTTCCAGCTGCTTTTCCAGTGCTGGGGGATCTGCAGCTTCAGCACCTCAGACAGCAGCCCCGGAGTGTCCCCAGGGCCACCCTCGGGGGACAAACCCACAGAGGGAATTTCCAGCCTGTCCCTAAAGAGCTCTGCAGGCACAGGGAGAGCACAACTTTGATCCCTTTCCAAGACTTCTGAGGATTCTGTCAAGCAGCCAAACGTTAGGAGTGAGGTGTGTTTATTAATAAATAAAAGTGTTTGCAGCAAGCAGCCACCTGGCTTTGTACTATAATTTTTTCCCCCCGCTCCGGCTCCACTTTCATCTTCAAATGTTATTTTATGCTTCTCCCCGTTATGCTTTGGTCTGAACAGTTTATTCTGCTTCAAAGGAAGTTGAACTCAGTCTCTCTGCAGAAGTGGAGACTCCTGTGCTCCCTGGATTTGGTTTTTTCCCATCCTTTTGCTGCACAATATTCCCAGGACAAGGATGTTTTCCAATCTCCATCTTTTCAGCCCAGCAGCCGCAGATCTGGTACATGTTGTTTCAGGCTGGGCTTTATCCTACACCAAAAGCAAGAATATAAAATCCAAGTTATTTATAAGAGAAGATACATATTTGCATCTCAATGTGGACGGGAAAAGGCACTGAATATCCAGCCTTTCCCAACACTAAGAAGGGATTTATTGTGTTCTGATCGAATGGAATGAGGGTAAATTCTAAGTTTTTGGTTTATTTCAAGGTAGAAATGTTCTCTGCACGGCCCTGAGCTCAGAGAATGCCCAGTGCAGCACGCCCAGAGCAGCTCAGCCTTCACTCAGAGCTGTGGGGTATTACAGGTGGGACAGGAATTACAGCTGGAGCAGGAATTAATGTAATTCCCGCTCCTTAATTCCCACTTAACCCCGTGTCCCTCCCGCCAGCTCCAAGGGAACAGGCAGAGCTGGCAGCTTATGGTGGGCACAGGTGACCCCATTGTCACCACAGTGTCCCCGTGGCCTCAGAGTGCCCTGTGTCACCACGTCCCCTCAGAGTGACAGCTCACGAGCGCCCAGTGCCACCCCATCCCCTCAGTGACCCCTCACGAG